AGAGTGCTGAAAAGGAATTAAATATTAAAGGAAAGATTTAAAGATTTAAACATACATTATCCAAAGTACTTCCTTGCAAAATTGATAATTTCGTATTTGAGACTGTAATTATATAGTAATGCTTATAATTTTTTTTTTTAAAAAAAAATAAGTATATTTATTGAAAAGTAAATTTTTCATTGTATTTTATCTCAAAATCGCTTGTGTGCGTAAATTGTAGCTTTGAAATCTATTTTTTGAATTATCGTCAGTATAAATTTGATATAAGAGATAGTTTAATATCTAGAAAGTTCTTTCTAAAAAAAGAAATCATAATACGAACCACATTTGAATAATTGCTGTCCACCAATGAGTCTTTGTTATTTCAATAGGATTCGGCCCGTTGAATTAATATTGAAATTCTAAGATTAAACGCAATTTTTCTTCACTAACTTCACGGGTAATTTAATATCGATTTCTGTATAATGCGAATGGATAGGAACAGCTAAATGTAGAAATAAAAAAACTACATATTAGAAGTATAGAAGTATCACAATGAAGTATGATTTATATTAGTTGTATCATTTTGATTTCGATGGATTTCGACGTATTTTGATGTCTTTCGATGGCTTGCGAAAGTTTCGACAATTTCGACGGATTTCGATGGGTTGACGTTTTATGATTCTAAATTTTTAAGGTAACTGAATTTGTAAATTTAACGGGTAAACATTTTAGTTAGTATTAGTATTTTGGACCTAGATCGAACATAATTCCAGATTTAAGAAATATTTTCAAGAAAATCTCCATCCTTCCAAAAGGTTGTATTAAAATGTACCCGAAAAGAATCTTATTTTGAGGGTTTTGGGTTTACTATCCATAGAAACATTTGTCATCCTACCATCCCATCCTTCGAAAATTTTCCAACCGTAGTTTTGCCTAATAACGAAATTTTGGTAAAAGTCAAAACTAATTCCTCTCGAAACCTCAGAGAATATAGTTCTTGTTTTTCATAAAATGTCGCCAATATTTTAAAAAATAAAATTTCAAAATAACATGACAAAGTATATTTTCATTTTGAAGACATGCCATTATTTGGGGTAATATTTTATTATGTTTATGGTTACATTAATATAAAATTAATTTATTTACAACGACTTCGGATCCGAAATTTAAAAAATGGTAGCCGGAATTATTTTGCCGGTTCACATAAACAACTCTAATCCTAACCTAACCGGCAAATAAATCCGGCTACCATTTTTTTCAATGTAAAATCACCTGAATCCATATCACGTGTATAGATCCGCAAAATCCCATAATTTGAAATTTTCTCATTTTTTCTATAAATATACATTCAGTTTTGATTGATTGACACTCAACTTGATGCGATTTATTGTCGCTTATGCAGCAATTGTTTAACGTTACCTTCCTAGTCATGTATCTACCAAGACTTCTACTTGGTCCTATGAGGAGGCATTGACACTTGGGATTCGTTATCTTTTATTTTATAAATATGGGTGCACTCATGGTTTATAATGGTGAAAAGATAACTAACAATAAACAATAGGCTAGATTAATCGTCTTGTTGTTGGACGTTGGCTCACTGTCTTGTTCCTTTGGGGATACAACGCAGTGTTTGTTATCCTTAACATCGATGAGTTGCGGGTGCACTCGTAGCAAATTGTTATAAGGAAACTAACTAGTAAACAATGGATGATTCAGAATTAATAGCGGGTTGGGTGTGAAATTATGAGGGAAAAACATTAAAAATTAATAAAAAATCAATAAAATCGTTATTTTTACGTAACATTAAGTCAAGTGGTTTCACTCACTTATGTAAAACTTATTTTTTAAATAAAAATTGCATAAGACAAATAATTATATATATGTACTATATTACAGAAAAAGAGTAATAAACTTTGAAATTTATTTTTAAAATTTTATTTTCACAAATTTTTACATTTTATGATGATTTTTTTCAAGAGCAGTTCTGGAAGTTCTAGCCGGACAATTACTTTATATTCATACTATTTTGCATGTGCTGTTCTAAGCGCGTATCGCTAAAAAAGTTGTAAATGATGATACGGTCGAATACGAGAATGAAAAAATCTATTATATGGCCATCTTACTATTTTTTATTACTTTTTAGTTTTGATCGTTTTGGAAATACGCGGTATATTTTTGTTGATCGCAATATTTTTATTTTTCCGCGTTTTTGATTTTTTATTTATTTTCTTAAGGTTCCTATTTCGAGTTAGAGCATTATAAGTCTTTTTTTTGCAATTTTTTTTTTAAACCCGCGAATTAAGTAACACGAACTAGACACTAATGTCCAATCAACTTAAAAAAATAATGGGTCGACCCGACTAGGAATTGAAATCGAATTTTAATCGCGAATAATCGTTTTCATGATTTATAAGATTCGATTTTCAATTGTTTCTAATCTAATCTTTTTTAATTAATTATTATTTTTTCCTTGATAGCATCTTCTTCTTCCGCTTCTGCCCTACTTTTAAACGAAAAAATTATATAGGTTAATATTAATAAATATTTATATCAATAAAATTTAAAGGCTTACGACATCTTATTATTTTACTAAAAAAAATTATAAGATATATAATTATAAAAAAAACAAAGCTAAAGATAAAATTTAAAAGTAACTGACGCAACCTAAGAATAATAATAACAAATTTTTGAAATAACCTTATAATAAATACCCACGCTAGTAAGTGATACCTGGAGAGCTGCTCTCTCCATTTCACATTCTCTTTCAGAATATCGCGCTATATGTAATTTTCTATTCCTGCTTCTTATATCACGAAATCTTTCATACTCATTCATATGCTGGAGGTTAGCTTTCACACGCTGGAGGCTGCTGCTGCTGCTGTTGTTGCTGTTGCTGTTCAGTACTCGCTTGCATAATTTTATTATATTTTAGGAAAAAAATGGTTTTGAAAAGTCTTTTTTTTTTGCTTTAGAAAAAGATGTATGTTTGAAAATGATTATACTTATATAATATTTCTTTAATAAAATTTTATGTAATCATGAGTAGATGAATTATTAATGACAAAATCCTATGAACCAATTTGTGTCAGAATAGAGTGTTATGTATTTCAATATATCACTATTTTGGATAATTTAATTATAGTTGCTTTCGTTACATTATATGTAAACGTACTGGCTTTATTAACATTGCGTATCCATAAAGTACCTCTCTTGATTCGTTTAAGAATTAATGTCCAGCAATTGATCCAACTATTTATTCAAGTTTATCTGCACTATTAAAATTTTTTTCAATGTCTCTTAAAACTCTTAAAAGTATTAGACCACTTGACTGAACATACTGCATTTTTATACATTAGAAGTTGAGTCACGAGACAGTGTATTATTCGACTTATAATGAAAGTATAAAATGAAATAGAATTATGACATATTTAATTAGTATGTAGATCTTATATATACCATTGGCAAAATAGAAAATTATATTTTCTAAACGAAGCAAAGTATATCGATATACACACGTCGTCTGCAGCAGTTGCTCCAAAGGTTGTTCTTGTTTCTGCTATAAAATTCAACAGTTTCAAAACAAATACAACAACTGAAAAATAATAATTATTATTATTATTCTCCTATCATCAGAAAATTTTTTTCCTATTTAATAACTTCTTTGAATTCTCCATTCACATCTTTTTTTTATAATTCAATTAATGGAATCGCTTATTTTCCCTTTTCTACACTAAAATTTTTAAAACTATTTTTAAATCTGTGAATAGTTCATATAAATTGTCAATTTCTATGCTTTGTTCTATATTGTCTTTCTGCAACCGATGAAGTTACGAGTAGCAGGTACTGTAGGGATAACAGGTTCATACCTGGAGGGGTTCCCCTTGATTTTCACTTCGTTCATTCCTTTAGCATTCCTGTGCAAATTTATAATTCCTATCATTTACTGTTTTGGGGTAGTGTATTGGTGATGCAAACTCTATATTTTAAAATTCTGCTATGCAGCAGCAATATCAATAGACAGCAACAACTTCTACAGAATCAGCAAACAAGTGCAGGAACAACGACAACACAAAAATAAGACAAAAATAAGAATGGTGCAAGAACAAGATTATAGTGAATAGAGGAGGCGCATATGCAAGCTACACGAAGCGTGCTATTGCCAGGAAGTCAGAATCCAGGAAACGATTTATGTGCTATCAGTCATGTCAAATTCTGGAGCAAATTTGACAACAAATAAGACTAGAACAAGAATAAGAGATAGGCGCGAAATCGCAGCAACAACTATACCGCAGAAAATTTTTTTTTAAAAATTTCACGAGGATGAAATCATTTAAAAAATAACCTAACAAAAGGAAGGCATCGGCTGTTCGCCGCCGACTCCAAATACAGCAAAGCAATAACAAAATAATTTAATGATGGAGGCACTAATCTCTCGAGTTAATAACTTCTTTTGAGATTTTGAAGATAAAGAAAAAAAAAAAAAAACTCGGTAAATTATTTTTTAAAGCTCACCAAATAATATCTACATAAACTAACTTAAGTAAAAACGATTCATCTCCAAGTTTAGAAATTCTAAGGTCGAAAGCTGAAATGATCAATTAGTAGAGAAACTCGAGATTTGGAGTCTCGATGCCATGTGTTGAAAAGATGAGTTGTTTTGAAAAAAAAAAAAATAAAGAATTTGTCAAAATTTATTAAAATTTTATATTTCTCATAATTTTTAATATTTTACACTTTGAAAAGAAGCCGCCAACTTCTCATCCAGATGAAGATATTTAAATGCAAAGCAGAAATTATCGTAATGCAAAAGCATCTCGAGATTTTTGGAGGCTGAACGAAAAAATCAACTCAGCGAATTGCTGAACAAAGTTCTTAATAAATAAGTCCAAGGTAAATTTAATGCTTATTATAACGTTATTAAAATTATTACTGTTATTATATCATAATTATTTTACACATTCCATATGAAGGTATTGAAATATTCATGGCGGAGGCAGAAATTCTCGCATCTCGAGATTATGGAGGTTGAGTATCTTGAAGACGTAAAAGAGCAACTTGGTGATTTACTACAAAATTTTCTTGACAGACAACTTTAATGCAAACTTATGAAGACTAAAAGACAAATAACTTGCAAAGATTTTCAACGATATTTCAATGTATTGCTTCCGCAAGATGAAGATAGTTTAAGGATGAGGCAGAAATCTTCAGGTTATGACTCTTAAGGTTCTGGTGTCAATATACTACGAAACAAGAAGAAAATTCCGGATGAATTTTTTCGCAAAGTTCTTCAATACAATCTACAAGGAACTAATGTCGAACAGCAGTTAGTTATAATCGCATTTCTAATATTCTATTAGATATGATTAATTATTTATTGCATAATGTTTTATTATAAGTAGCAAAGCATTTACTAATAAATTATTTTATATAAATAATTTTCTAAATCTTATTAATTATAACAATTATAGGTTGTAATTGAAGGAGATATAGATTTAAATCAATATTGGAATGATAAAAAAATACTTCCAAATTTAGCAAATAATGCTCTGGTTACAGGTGATGTTAAAGAATTTAAATGATCGAGTACTTACGGAGATTCAATTGAAATGTTGAATTTGCGGTTATTGATGATTCGACTTGAACAGTTTCCCTGCAACGCCATTAAGCAGCTAACAATTATTACTGCAAAAAAAAAAATAACTTTTTGACTAAAAAATTAATCTACGAAAAGCTACCAAAAATAATAATTTAATGCCTGAGGCAGAAATCCTCGAGTTACAAACGACTCTGAGAGATTCTCAAAAAGAAAGACGAAAAGAAACAACTCGATAAATCATTTTTCAAATCTCACCAGAGAAAATTATTTCCTAACGTAACAACAATCTTCAGATGAAGAAGTTTTAAGGATGGGAAGCTAAATTACGAGAGCAAATCGAGATTTGGAGGCGGAACAACGAGATGTTTAGAAAAGTTCTTCATAAAGAACTACAAAGTGACTAATGCTTTTTTAGTAAGGTGTTTGCAAATTTATTTCTTTATTATATTTTTTACACTTTGAAAAGGAAACGCAGATATTGAAATTTTCATGACGAATGCAGAAATTGAGTCCGAGGTACTTGAGGAAGATTCTACTAAACTTTCTTGATAAACATCCCAAGGTAAGCTAATAATTTTGATAATGTTGTTGAATTATTGATATTCTTATAATTCAACTTTTTTTTTTGCTCTTTGAAAAGGAATCGCCCAGATGAAGATATTGAATGCTCATGGTGGCAGAATTCTCGAGTTGCAAGAACTGTGGAGACTGAATATCTTGAGGACGAATGAATGGATAACGTTGATGAAATTATAATTCTCATATATCTTTTTATTTTAAAATGAGCAGTCTCAGCTTCCACCAGATGAAATCTTTATGTAGAAGGTACAAATTTTCGATTGCTCTCAACACAAGATTTATGAGGACGAAAATATGGGCTAAGGATATAGTTGCGGGACGAAACCATAATAGGCTAATGTCGAAAGTCGAAACTAAAACCGTCGAAAGTCTAAACGTTTCGACAGGTTTCGGCGGGTTTAAATAGGCGTCGAAACGTCTAAACTTAGTCACCAATCGGTGATCCGTGTTCATCATTCAAATAAATTTTTTTTTTGGGAAATTTGTTGTTTTTGTGGAAAAAATAAAACCTTTATTTTATTTAATTTTGTATAGATGAAAGATTACTTAAAATCCCATCCAGGCTGTAAACCACCTATCCCATCCCAGGATTCCGATGGGCTTCGGCAATTACAAAGAGAGAGGTAAGTAAAAGGTTAATT